TTTTAAATTTCAGATTCTAATGGCTGCAGAAATGAATTGCCCACTGAGGACTAATAAAGTTTCTTTCTGAATCTAAACTTTAATGTCTCTTCCTCCATTACAGACACCAGTGACACCTCTGCTTCCTGCTGCCTCTCCTCGAGCTGCCCGCAAAGGTCCCATCAAAGCAGGTGGTCTGATCTTTGTGCTGGACCACTCCCGGTGGACACAGCCCATGAGGGATAAGATTGACCAGCTTCTACAAAAGCACCATGGGCAGAAAGACTGCCTCGTTAAGGTGGATGCTGAATATGCTGTTTGTGTTCAGGCTTCCCAGAAAGACCCAAACAGCCTTTTGCACCCGACCACCAAACACCATATTTCGCGTTACGTGAAGCATCTAGCCAAGATGAAAAACACAAAATCATCTTTAAACATCAGCCCAGAGAAGCTTCTAGAGACGCAACAGCTGTGGCATCATCTAACAGAAGGTAGTGAGACTGTTAGTGTTCCAGTAGTCACTATTCCACCTGCAACTGTGAACCCCCCTACCATTAAGCTCCAGGATGCTCCACTAACGAAAGCACAAATTGAGCAAATGGTGAAGGAGATTGTGCAACAGCAACAGCAGCAGAAAGATCAGCAGCCCATGAAGAAGAGAACTAGGAACTGTCTAGCATGTGGCCAGCCAAAGTCCCGTTTTCAGGGTGACGGCTCCTCTGTTCATTTCTTCTATCAGTCTGCAGAGGTAAAGTATTTTTACTGCTCACAAAAGGTTTACCAGACCTATGTGGCAGAGGGCCTGTCTGACCCTCGAATGTCATTTTCTGACTTTGCGGACACACCATTTTTCGCTCGAGAGCTGGAGGCTGCAAAACGACGCGCAGCTGAAGTAAGACGGGTGATGGAGGAACGGGGAAAAAGGAAGGCCAAGGAGGAGCAGCCTGCTGGGCGTCTGTGCAGGTTCTGCCACAGACCTCTCAAACAAGGCCCAAACAGTTCCCATGTTCACACTGGGTTCCCTGGTGTGAATGGGAAGTACATTTACTGTCCTGCAAAAGTCCTATCCTTGTACCAGTCCCAGGGAATGAAAGGGGAAATGACATGGGGGGAGTTTTCTCAGTCCTCTTTTTATGAGGCTGAAAAGGAGAGGTGGGCTGCCGAAAAGGGCAAATAATTGCAGATAATTTTGCAAGTCCTATAGTGCGGTGTAAATATTGTAAATATTAATTAATTTCAATGAACAATGTACAGTTTGATATGGGGATTTGTTACTGTTCCAAGTGGATTTTTTTTCCATTCATTTCTACTTTTTCCACTTGAAATACTAAAAGTTCTAAAATATTTGTAACACATATTGTAAATATTTTTTCTTACAACTATTACATTATATATATAGTGACAT